CTCACCCATACAAAGGTCACACCTTACTGTCGTGCTAGAAACTATCACAAATTGGGTCATTCGAGCTAACCACTTGAATCAGCCCGCTTAGCTCTTACAAGTGCTATATAACAAATAAGCTAGACAAATATTTTACACAAAGATATGGATTAATTTCAATCGCATAAATTTACATTTACACAATACGTTGAAAATATTTGTCAATGAAATATATGTGATGCCTTTTTGAACGCGCATCAATCTAGGGTGAAAAAAGGATATATATATATATATATATATATGTGTGTGTGTGTGTGTGTTATTGTTATGAAATAATAAAATAATGTATGTGAATGACTATTTTGCCCTTGATGTATATGTATTATTATAAGTTGTGCCATCAGAAGTTTCCTATAAATAGGAGCTTCACTTATAATGAAAATTATACCTAAGAGAATACATTTTCTCTATTTTCTCTTTCTCTCTAGTTTTATAACACGTTATCAACACGAGTTAAAAGGAATATGTCTAAGAGCACTGGTTGCTATTGTGAAATCATTTGGTATGTGAACATGTGAATATTTTGAGTTGATCATTGTGATATGAAAATAAATATGTGTGGCTACATAGATGGCCAGTGCGGCTCTGCCGCCGGCCAGTTATACTTAAGAGTAGCCCACGGGTCAATTGTTGATCAAAATATTATGAACGATTATGTGAAACGGCCGAGTGCATCCACCCGCAGCAGAAAGTACGATTAAAGTCTTGAACGACTAAATTTATACCGGTCATTGTATTAATAGCTGGTGATATGGAATGGCCAGATGATAAGGCCACGTGCAACAAAATATAAATTACTATATATATATACACGAGCCGGCCAGTGCGGCTCTACCGCCGGCGAGGTGCAGTACAAATTAAGTGATAGCCGTTGAATGAAATGAATGATACTTTGTATCTAGCCATGTGAAAGTCGAATAAAGTCCTGATCGTGAAAAATACTTGATAAATTCTCCAAATTTATGGAGGTAACGAAAATTGATGAGATGGTGCCAGAATTTACCATATCATACCAAACGCTACCACATAATGATGATATCGTAGTATAGTTATACCAGAAGCCACGATTGGATGATTGAACAAATTGAAAAAGTGGTATCAGAAGCTACTAGTTATGGGTGATCACACAAAATTATTTCTCAATATATTATATGAGGTTAAGGGAATATATTAGATGATGAAATCCTATTGAGATACGAGATCATACATATACTACAATAAAGTGCTCCGGGAGAAGCACATGTGATATGATTGTAGTCATGAACTACTATACACTTATCTTGAGGAAAAACAATTATTAATGAGGAACAAGTACAAAAGGTTCAGATGATGAAAATATGAATAAAAGGTAGTAAATCCTCGATAAATACAAAAAGCGAAAAATATTACATAATAGAACCCATAACGAAGGGTGCGTCTCGAGAGTCGAGAGTATAACTCTGCCACCCATTATTGTTATTTGGGTTCATAATGAGATATCTAAAGGATCAAAAGCACTTTTTTTTCTTGACCCCTTGTGTTTCCACAGAATCCTGAAATGTGATGCATTCTTAATTTTTTTTATAAGCTCAGCAGACGTATCTTCAGATTTGAATACTTCTCTCGTTGGAGGAGATATAAATGTTTGATCTACTCCTTGGTCTAAAAATCCTAGCAAACCATGAAAAAAGATATTAGAATTCAATAGACCTATGGGCTTGTTATGTAGTTTCAATTCTGCCCAAGAAGCAATGTGAACATCATCATTAGCGTTCCATAACCGCCTGGAAGAATGATAAATGCATCGCTCTTGTTCACCATATCTATCATACAATCATAAGTAGAATGAGTTAGCATCATGCTTATGGAATTCTTGACGACCCTTGTTGTAGCTCTATGAAAAGGTATGATACTTTTCACTTCTATCTCTAAACACTTTCCAACCATTAAAAGATTATCAAAGAAAGTGATGCTAGTACCTCCATACAGTAAACTGACTTTTGATTTCACATCTCCCTTACTAACTGACTTACAATATTAGTATTTTGAGAAAAACTTACCAGTCTAGAACCACCAAGAACACACATGGTTTTGATCGGTTGAAGAAAACTATTACCTTGCGATGACTCTGAAACATCCATCTATTTATTAATAAACTTAACTTTTCAAATTTTGAGAGGCATAAGATTATGATGAACGACTCGCTATTTAAAAGGAAAGTTTTACAAAACGATAAAAAATTTACTATTTTCTCTTGACAATTGCAACCGACAAATAAGGTGTTACATTTGAAATAAATCTTATCTGTCGGCAGCTATAAGATTTTTTGGAAATTACAGTGCAACATACTATTAAACTTCATCAGTATGATATTTCGTAATAACAAGACTAGCCTTACAAACTTGATCTTTTGAAACAATATTTTCGAGACTATATCGTTCTTCTTCATTTTTTAAACTAATCCATAGAGACAGAAGCTCACGATGCACATAACCACTAGGATGTGTCTCAAGAATCTGGTGAATCGTTTGCTCCATAGACTCTTTACTCAATCTATCCTTTATAGATGCTATTTTCTTCTTCTCGATTTTGGACACGAACCCAACTGATTTACATCGTGTGTCACAAGTCCATCGAGCGCATTTGAAGCATCCACTTAATCTTTTTGCTCTTCGTTTCTTTGCAAAATTACTCTTACCCATACTTGGCATATATTTATATGAATTTGGAAACTCTCCAGACAATCGAACTTTTGCTTCAATCAACCG